TTGGAGAATCTCGGAGCAGTGCTGGTATCCCGTGATCCCTCAGGGAAGGTCCTCGCAACACTGCTCCGCTACCAATGCAGCGGATGCTGCAGGGTAGCTTGATTGGGCTCTGACCAAAGATCACAGGTACAAGTCACCAAACAGCATGCACAAGCGCGCAGGGCGCTGCCGTCTTTTACGTGCGCGATCGCACGGTCCGTGGCGTCAAGTGGATTCTTGAGTGACACCTGAAGAAGGGGCCCCTTTGGTCTCCAACAGCTGCGAATGTACATGAATGCATGATCAGCTGAAAGAACGGTACACACAGGCTTCACTGAATAAGAATGTCGCAGATTCCTTGAACGATGCTCGTTTTGTGGTGTCTCCAGCACTCGAGTAGCAGTGGCAAGCCTGAAGCAAACGCGTGTATGCCACTGATAGCTTTCTCGGCCACACGCTGTGGATGTATTTCGTTCGGACTCCGTTTTGACTTCATGTTCCGAGCCGCGACTCTGGAGGTCGGCCACTCTTGAACAAGCCTCCGCCTGGTTGTTTTGTTCGGGGAGTGGCGGGATCGTCGGTGGTCCCGCGTCCCCTCCCAAACTCTCTCACCAAAGCCAGTCGTCAGGCAGCCGTGGCCCCATTCTTTAGACGCCTGGCGGGCAGTGGGTCGTGCAGTGGTGTGCCACAGTGCCACCATGCAGTGACAGTGATCCAACTTGCCAATGATGCGGCGGGAAGAAGGGGGGAGCAGGCATCGTCATGACGATAACACCTCCAGAAACGTCTTCAGTTTCTTTGAAACGACCATATGAGAACCAATGCTTCGGCATGGATGGCAACATGGCTTTAGTTGTCAGGGCCTATGGGAGGCATAGGGAGGCCGGGAGCCCATGGTGATCTGAGGGCAGATGCCTGGGCGACACCGTACGAAAGCCCAAGACAAGGCAGCGCTCCAGTGACTCTAGTGCGCCAACGCGCGAAGTGTTAAAGCCTGCCCTTCAGGTATAGCGTTGTTTCACGAACCCGATTCCCGACTTGCAGAAGATATAAGTAGCTACGGATACAGGACAGACAGCTAGCTGGGTTGAACAGGTTCAGCGCAGGAGCTGCTCCAAAAGATCATCATGTCCTCACAGCCACTGAAGCATGGTCAGATTTGCCCAGCGGTTGATCAACCATGTGTCTGATGCATCCTGATGGTTGCTCATCTGCTTTCAGTTGTTGGGGAATAAAAAGTGGAAGAGCATTGTGTGCATTCGGAGAAGTGATTCAAGCCAAGGTCAGTGGGATAAGAGGCGCTTAAAAAGGACAATTCCGTGCAACAACGCGTGGGGTTAGGCAGAGATCTGAGGCCGATGAGAATTGAGATATTACAGTATTGTCGTTTCTCGAGATGGGTTTGTTAAGGTGAAAACTGCTCGGAGGCTTCCTCGCGAGCATTCCTTCATGGTCCCTTCGAGATGGCTTCTGATCGTGTCTGTTGTTTGTGGCTGGTTTGTCACATGTGGTCCTGCCGAGTGTTACCCTGTACGTAAAGATTGTCGATTATCGCGCCTGTGGAACTTGAACAAAGCCATGCGCGGACTGAAGCAAACTTGCAATGTTGCGAGAACATGTCGCTGCTGTTACAAAGTGGATTAGGATTTCGGCGCTTCAAATTGAAAGTCAGGGGCAATCGTACCCTGTATTGAAGCAGTGAGTTGTGTCTTTGCTTATGTCGACGATCTTTTGCTTGTTACTTGTTGCCGAGCCAAATCGCGATCTTGCGCGAGCTGATCTGTTTTGCGGCCACTTGTCTTGACGGTAAGATTGACAGCGGGGTCAACTTTTCGCATGGTGACTCATTTCTCGGGCAGGGCTGTTGGCTTCGTCATATTAATCTTCTGAACATTCTGTCTCTGGTCTAGTGAAGTCCAGTGTGTTCCCTCTGCGATTTCTTCAACCTTTTTGATCTTTCTCCCTCTCTCTTTCTGCCTCCTCATCGAGGGGGTGAAGGCATCTTCAGCATCAGGCATCATCACCCCCCCACCGCCCCCCACACGGCCTCAAGGGGCACAAGGGCCTTCGACCACCNNCCCCCCCCCCCCCCCCCCCCGCGTCGGGGCTGCCCCAGGTCGACGCGAGCTCTCGCGCGCTCGCGCCAGCGGGGCGCTTTACTTCCCGCCGCTGCGCCCCGGTGGCGCTCGCTGCACAACACTCTCTTCCGAGTTTGTTCATTCGCAGACTCTTCTCTCCATCTATCTCTTTGTGTCTTCCCGTCAGAAAACACACTCTTTGTCTCCATGTGCCGGCCGCGGCAGCCGGAAGGAGTGGGAGAGGGGAGAGTTGAGTTCAAATCTCTCTCGAGTTTCTTTTGGGGGCAGACACACACAGGTCATCGGACTACTTGCACACCTGCCGGGATCTATGTGGAGCCACACATGTCAGGCTCGGCGTCTAGAGTGCTGGAGCCCCGCTGCGCCCTGCACAGCGGTCAGCAAAGGATGCTGGAGGCGCTGGTGCAAGGGATCAAGACCTACTTGGAACGGATGCGCGGGCTCCCAACACTCAGATAGTTACACAGATAGTCTTGTGCAGAGTGCAGTGAGCGTTTGTGTGGCGATCGGTGGCCATGGCTTTAGCATCTGCAGCGTCCTCCTGCCCGGCCCGGCCCTGAGGTTCGGTGAGGCGCTGGCGGCAGCGCACGTGTCCGCCGGCTTCCACTATCCCGCCGGGGGCTCGGACAGAGCGAGGCCCGGCGGCGACTGTTTTGGGGCCGAAGACGGGAAAGACACCACCAACGCATTTTTTTCGTCGATAGAACGTCGCCGATCAGAAGCGAAAATGCTTATGCTCATGATAGCAAGAAGGAGTTCGGCAAAAGAACCACGCAAAGAACTTGAAGAACGAGTCAAACGTAGACACAGCACTGCAAACGAGAATGAAGCCACGCAGCGGACCTCACATTTTGTACACGGAAAGCCTTGGGAGTTGCCCTCCATTTTTCAATGCGCCTGGAGAACCCCAAGAGCACAGCCATCTTTGAAGCAGGGGCATTCGCCAAAGTTATTTTTTCGACGATCGATGTCGAGTTAAGGGGTCATGTCGACAAGAACGTGTCAGCCCTTTCGTGTTCGACCCCTCCTTCTCGAAGCCTTATAGAGTCACTAGCGGGTGAGGGGATGCCGGTGGAGACTCGGGTTCGCCACGTGCGACGTGAGGTGCGGCCGCAGTACAGCACGCTGCACCTGCAGATCCGGGTGAACGCCGGCGACGTCTGTCCAGGCCGGCAGGAAGAGCTGGGGGAACCGGGGGCCCTTCGTTGTTAGCCCGGGCGGGCACGGCTGAGGCGAGGGCCGCGGCGTCGACCTCTTCAGGCCCGCTCGCGCACCGGCAGAGAGGAGAGGAGAAGAGAGGAGAAGAACACGGCTAAGGCGTGAAGAGAAGAGACTCACTTCGAGAAAACTTCTTTTAACCGTTGTTTGCCTTGAAGCGGCGAAAGAGGCTGCAGAACCGGTTGAAGTCCGACCCCGAGTGCTTCCAAAGAGACGACGAGACGCTCTTCTACGAGGCGCGGGAATGTGCGGGAGAGAGCGGGAGGGAGGGGATTTTGTTGCTGGGAGAAAAAATGCGGGTTGGACTCTGGCCTGCGCACTCTCCCACACAGGCCACGGCGAACTTGAGGATGGCCTTGCTGAAAGCCTGCGACAAGGCCCCTGCTCGCTGCTTTGCATGCTTTGCTTTGCATACAATCTGCCGCACCGAATAAAAGCGCCTCCTCTCCTTCCTCTCCGCCTAGAGGCGCCGAGCTCCTGTCGAGAGGTGGGGCCCAAGAGCTTGGTCTTGGGCGAATGAAGCCGACAGCATTGTCCGTCCGCTCTCGCTCTCTCTGCATGTTTCTGGGAAGTTTCAGGTCAGACTCTTTTTGGGGGTGGCCCCAAACTTTCCCCAAATTCGCACCCTGCTGCGGGCCACGGCTGCAAAACTCTCTCGGGCTTCCGAAAAAGGGGCCATGGGCCAAGGACCCCAAAATCGCCGGAAGAGCTGCAACACAGCAAGCCTCAGACACACGTTGGGGCCCTCTTTTCGAGACTTCCCGCCCGAGGGCGCAGTCCTTTCCCTGACTTTTTATAGAGGGCACCCATTGAGGGTCTCCGATGACAATTACGCTTTTCAAGGCCGCTCTGCAGGCTTGGAGACGCTGAAAGCGCTGACCGCCCCGAAGGGGAGTTTCCACGGACCTTTTTCAGACTCTTCTTTTTGTTGGAGGAGTTTTAATTTGACGAGACTCTACTCGACCCTCTCAGTGCGCGCGCCCTTCCCAGCGCGTGCCCGGGCCCGGGGGGCCCCCTGCGGATGCCAGAGGCCCCGGCCTCGGGAGGACGGGAGACGTGTTTGGAAAGAGCTTTGAGAGAGAGGAGCGCGCTTTTCTTTTCTGAGGCTCGGAGATCCAAAGCCAGCATCGCGAGAGGCGGGCGCCTGGCGGCCCGCGACCCAGCTCTGCGCAATGACGGCCTTGGCTCAGAAGGCTCAGAGCTGGCTCGCGTTGCTGCGTTTTTTCGAGGCATCTGAAAGCGCTTTCCAGCACCTGTACATATTCGACGTCTCCTCCGCCGACGCGCGCGCCTTTAAGCGGCACTCCTGGAGCTTGCAAAGGGCAGTCCACGGAGCCGCCCCACGGAGTTTCACAGATGTACAGAGTCGGAAGCGACGCCAAGTCTAGGGTAGTTCGTAGCATGATGAGAGACTACTTCTCCTGAAGTGTCCCTGGTGTCGGGGAGGAGGAGGGGAGGACAAAGTCGCTGCAGGCCCCGCTAGGCCGCAAAGGGCGCTTCGCTTCCGCTTTCGCCGTGCAGGCACCGAGCCGGAGCCCTCGAGGCCGAAGTCCGGACGTTGACAGCTGCACACCCGAGAGACAAAAAGAAAAGGACGAACCCGACCGAAAAACTGATGTCTCTGCCTCTCCGCTCCCGGAGACATGCGTCGCTGCACTGCGCTGCGCTCTGCGCTGCGGCTCAGCGCTGCGCTTTTCTTTGCCGCCCTGAGAGCCCGGGGGGCTCTCTTTTTGCCCTTAGCTGCTGAGCCGCTCCTCAGAGCTCTGCTCAGAGCCGGAGAACGGCCACGCCGTTCAAAGGCCTACATCTTGCCTTGTCCGTCTTGGGTGATTTTGTCTCGGTTTTGCTGTGTCAAGGCGAAGGTGCAAGCGACAACAGGACGCCCCCGGCTGTCGGAGACTTTGGTCGGTCGCGTAGCATGCGCCGTCTGGGAACATGGTGGCTTCGGTGATTAGGACAGCCCCGCAGCACTGTGCTTCATGCCTGGATTTTGGCCTAGACCAGTGCCAAGGAGTTGGTTGGCATCGGATGGCCCCTTGCAGTGCATGCGAGCCGAGATGCCAGAGAGATTCTGAAGGAAGGCCGTAAGTAGCGGGTGGGCGAAGCAGCTGGACGCATCTCCTGCTTTGACAGGCCAGGGCCAACTTGAGGCTTCTTCAACTTTGAGGCTGGGTACCCGTGGTCGGAGTGGCGTGAGGCTGGGTCCTCCCAGAATTGGTGTTCGGCATCGTCTTTACATCGTCACACGGCTGAGCCCCAAGGAAAAGGGGGAACCTGCTCCCAAGAGTTATGTCGCCAGGAATCTCGAAGCATCGCGCCTCGGCTCCTCAGGTGGCCGAGGCGGGCTGAATGTGTAAGCCCTACGTGACATGCAAATGATGCCACAAATGTGATAGAAGCAATATCTTGGCTTATTGAGCCGCACGCTTGCCCTTAGCTCGAGTGAGTCAGGGCTACCAAAAGTCGGCCAGTGTGCTGCCGCCGTCTCAGTACAGCACTAGCAGCGCGGCGAAAATGAGGATGTTGCTGCATGACTTCAACTTTGACCGCTGTTGCCCGTTATGTATGGTTGTGCACGTGTGCATCAAGTGACAAACTCGTTCGACGATGTTACCTCTCGAGTTTTGCCCGGTAGTGCGGCAGCAGCTTCAAAAGTTAGCCTCCTGTGCAGCCATGTCCGGAGCGGTGCCTACCGATGCCCCGTCTGATGTCCCGTCCGATGCGGGACACACTTGGGGCGAGGTCCGCGCCGAGGACGCAGACGAGGGAGGCTCTCATGCCCGTTCGAGGCCTGGAGCTGTTGCCGTCCAGATGGCCGTGAGGGTCTTGACCGAGGCGACCGAAGATATGCTGATGGATACGCTTGAGGACGTGCGACTTAAAGCACGTGCCCGTTTGGCGGCCCTGTTCGCACAATCGGTGGCGGAAGGGCATCAAGCATATGACGCCGACCCGGTCGTGGGCCCGGTCGCCTTCTACGACTCCGCCTTGCTCGCGGCAAACCTGTTCCCGGATGATGTCGTGGACCAGGCCTTGGCTCAGAGTGCTCAGGATGGAGGTGTGGTGGACTCGTCCGACAGCATCTCCGACACGCCTCCCGAGGGAGTCCCCGCAGAGAAGGCCGCCCCTGTTCAGCAGGCGCCCAGTCCGAAGCCAGGGGCGCCGACAGCTGCCTTGTCGCCGCAGCCGTGCTCCAAGAAGGCTACCGCCAAGGCGCCGAACCCGCAGCAGCTCCACCCTCGTGATGCCCGTCAGCCTAAGGCTTCGGACGCAGTGGTTTCGGTCGCGCCCCAGGTCTTGAAGGTTGAGGTGACGGTCCCGGCCCAGTTCCAGGACGTGATCGCCACCGAGACCTACACCAACGACCCCGTCCTGGTCGCGCCTAAGGGAGGTTCGAATCCGAACCCGCTTTTCAGGTACCCGCCAGTCCCGGCGCACGTCCAGTTCGGCGGCAAAGCTCCTCACCCTACGGCACCTACTCAGCAGCAGCAGGTCATGGTGAAGAACGTTCCCAAGGTCCCGGTCGTGCCCAAGGTGATGTGACAGCTCCTCCCCCGGCGACCTCCAGTTCGGCGACTACAACGGCACCGGCAGCAGATGCCAGTGCGGGGGCGAAGCCCGCAGGCACTACGCAGCACCAGTTCGTGAGGAACCCCAAGGCGACAGGGAACCGAGCGGACATCCCGAGTGGCGTGCCCAAGGCGAAGTCCAACCCGGTCGTTCCCACGGTATGGCCTCCTGGGACCAACCTTCCGCCGACTACCGCTACAGGAGCCCAGTTCGCTACGGCTCCCCCAGATTATTGGGATATCACATCCCAATGCATGGTCAGGTGTCCTCGTTGCGGAGTTCGACCTTGCGGGAGGGTAAACAGACGCTGGCATCGTCGTGCTCATTCCCGTCACCTTTGCCGTACATGCAAGGACGCCGAAAGTTGAGGTCCCGTTCGGCAAGGTCATGGCCCGAGGACCCGGACAGTATGTTTCTTCCCGGTCGATGCCGTCAGGATGTCGTTTTGCACCGCCACTTCGCAGCAAAACCCGTCAGGGCGAGTCTCGTGGGGTTGTTAGGGGTCGGGTTGTTCGGGTTCTCCTGTTCGGGACGGCGTGGTTCTTCGTGCCCTTGCCCGTTCGGCCCTGGTTTCCCTAACCCCTCGTCGCGTCGTTGTGCGCCGCACGTTCGCCAGTGCAGCCGGGGGTGGGCCTTGCGGGAGGAGTTCAGGGCACCCCGGTCGTTGTGGTCGGTTTGCTTTGGGGTCGGGTGGTTCTCCTCCCCCCTCCCCCAATTAGTGCTAGTCAGGGCTGGGCCGCCCGCCTTGTCAGCCTGAGTGGGGTGAGGACGGTGAGGCAACTAGGCCAGTTAGGGTGCCTGAGTCGCGTTAGTGTTCGTTGTGGTGCGCGGCAGCGCTTTTGTCCCGGCAGGGTTTTCTTTCGAGCTCTCAGGTGTTTTTAGTTCGTGCGGCCATGGCCGGCGCCGGTGCTAGTGCTGATAGTCACACGTTCGCTTCGCTCGTCCAGGTTGCAGTTTCGGTCGGCGCAGCTGATAAGCTTGAAGACCTGCGGCGTGCGGGCATTAAGTCTGCGGCACAGCTCTCGGCAGCACCTCGTTCGCAGTTGCGCGCGATTTTGGGGGATGTCGTCCTCGATCGGTTGATGCAGCCGGCAGGCACAGGTGCGGCTCGTGGGCCGGGTCCGAGAAGTGACCTCCCCGTCGTGCACCCGTACGCACGAGGGTCGATGCAGCGCATCTCGTTAGAGGGTCAAGCAGGGTCCTTTGACGCGGTCGACGATGCTTTTCTGGAGGATCGCTACGCGAGGACCTCCCGTGCGCCCATCGAGTCAAGATGGAAGACATGGCAGCGGCTGTGTGCAGCCCGTTCGCTGGACCCCCTGCCTCTGACTCAGGAGAAGATCTTTAAGGTGGGGGCCCTCCTGAAAGAGGGCAAGTACAGGTCTAGCGCCCAGTATTTCAGCGTGGCTAAACAACGTCACCGCGAGGCTGAATATGCCTGGACAGATGCATTGGACTTGGCGGTGCAGCAGGCTGTGCGTTCGATCAACCGTGGCCTTGGGCCAGCCAGGCTCAAGCGAGACCTGTTCGTCGATCGTGCCCCGTCGGACCTCGATGCCCAGCTCCACGCAGCATACACGCGTTTGCAGGTTCCAGCCGAACACCAGTTCGCCGAGCCGTGTGCCGTGCTGGCGATGGCGCTCTGGTTCTTGCTCCGCGGGATCGAGGTTGCAAATGTTCGCTGCACCGATGTTCATCTGAACCGAGGCGACCGTCTAGTTCGATTGTGTCTTCCGGTGTCAAAGACCGACCCAGGGGCCAAGGGTTGCGAAAGATCGCACGTGTGCATCTGCAAACCCGTTCATGATTCGGGCTGCCGGTCCGGATGCCCACCTGAGGTAATGTTTACTCAGTTGCAAACTTGTTCGTGTACCGGTGGGAGGCAGCCTTTGTGTCCTTTCCATGGTGCCCTCCGTTTGGCAATCGGGATCCGGAAGTCTCGACAGTGGTCCGCGGACACATTTTTGTTCTCCAGTTCGCAGACGCCCCCAAGCAAGCGCCAGGTCGCAAGGTTGGCTCAGGTTGTTGGTTTCTGCCTGCACAACGATGCATCAGAAGAGTGGATGCTTTCCCAGTTAGAGGATTGGGCGGAGCACGCGTTCCGGGTCGCGGGGGCCCAGTTGCTAGCACGTTCGATGGTGCCCTTGCCGACCATACAGATGCTGGGCCGGTGGGGCTCTATGGCAGTGATGAGGTACGTGCAAGAAGCAGTGATGAATCAGCCTACCATCACTGCGGCCGCGGTGGCATCGCACCTGTCCGGTGCGGCGCCCGTTCGGGCGACCGACACGCTGCGCGACCAAGTTCGCCGTTTCGTGGCCGAGTGTATCGAGGGCCATGGCGTTTACGTTCATAATGTAAAGTCTCGTCTTGCACATAAGCCGTGCGCAGGGGAGGCCGCGGTCCCGTCCGACGAGTGGCTTTCAGTGTGCGGGAAATGGCGCTATGGCACCAGTTCATGTCTTCGCAATGCAACAGTCTTGCCAGGGTTTAAGCTTTGCTCTTCGTGCTTTCCCGCGAAGCAGTCTTGTCCGCAGTTTCTTGTCAAGACGCAGGTCCCGAGCCCTCAGGTCCCGTCGCAGCAGAAGAGCCGTCCGATGACGACGACACAGCCGCCGTCGCTTCCAGTTCTCAAGGATCTGGCTGAGGACTCCGGCTTAGACACTAAGGTTTTCCAGCTCCTCACGGACCACGGAATCACGAACTCAGGCACGTTCTTCTACACCTTCCAGGACCCGTCCGCCGTGAAGAAGTTGTTGACGCCCGCTACGGTGGGCGAAGGGGTGAAGCTCACTACCGGCACCGCCGTCAAGCTCGACGACGTGCAGTTTATGGTGGCCCTGTCCGTGGTTGACGAGATCAGGGTCGCTAAGGCTAAGCGAGACGGGGCCCTCCAGTCCGTGAGCACCACGTCGACCGCAGCCGCAGCAGTCTCTACGTCAGCTTCGAAGGCCCCTAAGGTGCTGCCAGAGGGGTATTGGGCAGAGTTCCTGGCCGAATTCCAGTCCGAAAAGATCGGGGGGATCGCCAGGCAGTTTCCGACACACCTCCTGTCCGGTGCGGACGAGGTCTTGGCTCGTTTGGTGCATGAGAGGGTCACCCGTTCGCACACCCCGTTAAAGCTGCGGGAGATCGTCGCACACCGCCAGTTCACTGCCTCTGGCCAGATCAACCCGTTCAGGATTCAGGAGGAGTCCGGTTCGAGGATGCTCCTTCGGGACGACGGCTCGTTCGACCGGGCCCCGCGTCACGTGCCGGAACCCCAAAAGCTTCAAACTTCTCTGGACTTCCTCGATTCTGTCAAGTACGGTCTCTTGTTCGCTCGTTGGGGACCGGAGCTCTCGATCGACGCTTGGATCGGGTGGTTCTCTAACCTTGTTCGAGATCACCCGCAGAAGTATCCACAACTGCGTGAACTCTACCTACGTAGCTCCTGGACGCTGTGCATGGAGCTCAGGCAAGGTGTCCCGTTCGCAACTGCATACAAGACCGTGGTGTCTCAGGCAAATGTGGCCGAAGCCCTTGCTCGCTACCTGCCTCCCGATTCCAAAGGTAAGGGAGGAAAAGGCGATCACAAGGGAAAGTTCAGAACGACCCAGCCTGAGTCTGAAGGCGACCCGCGAAAGCGCCCCGGTCCGTACCGTGCAAGCACAGCCAAGGCTACAGGTTCTCAGGTCTCAGGTCAAGGTCAGCAGACTGGAGCGCCTCAGTGTCGCTTGTTCGCCGCTGGTCACTGCAAGTTTGGGGCGTCGTGCAAGTTCGCGCACGGGGCGCAGCAGCCACCTCACAACGCGCCCCACAAGCCACAGCCGCCAGCCGTGAACCCAGCGGCCTAGGGACAGCTCGGAGCGCCCCCGCCGCCAAGGGCGCCACCCGTTCTTTTCAGTGGGCGGCCAATTGCAGCACCCGTTGCGTCTGGTGCCTTAGTCCCTAACCCCGCCGTGCCCCCTAAGGCCCCGGCACCAGTTAGGCTCCCTAATCCCGTGTCCCCTAAGTCAGCCCCGTCACAGCCGTTGCCCAAGAGCGTGCCCACTACGGTGTCAGTTCCACAGCTACAAGCACAGCAAAACCAGGAACACCCGTTCCCGCCGCTTCCGCCGGGCCTTCCTCAGGCAGAAACCCAGCCCGTGCCCTTCACACAGTTGCGACCAGTGGCAATACTGAGTTTTTTCGACGGCATCGGCGTTGCGGCTCAGGCCTTAAAGTCTTTGTGCGTCGAGCCTACACTCTACTTTTCGTTCGAGACAGACGTGGCCTGTCAGCGCTGCTGCACCTCGCAGCATAGTTCAGTCGAGCATCAAGGTGACGCCCTTACCGTCGACCCAAGTCGTTTGGCGTCTACCTTGAAGACCCGTTGTTCGTCTGACACTGTCCTGTTAGTGTGCGCGGCACCCCCGTGTCACGACTTTAGTGCCATTCGCGGTGCGTCTTCTCCAGGGGTCGCGGGCCCAGAAGGTGCCAAGTTCGTTTCCTGGTCGAAGTGGCTGCAGCAGTTTGCGTCGGTGTGCACCCTGCAGTTGGTTCTTGTAGTCGAGAACGTCCTGATGCAGCCAGACATACAGGACCTTTTCGACAGAGAACTGTGTTGCAAGTCGTTCGTTTGCGACGCGGCGTCCTGGTCGGTGGTTTCGCGGCCGCGCTTGTGGTGGGTGAGCAACTTGTGTCCACCCAAGGCTAACGAGCCCACATCAGCGTCAGTGTGCGGTGGACTTGCACGCTGGCGCAAGTACAACCGGTTTTGGCAGCTACTACCGGCCAGTCCAGTTTTCCCGAAGCAGGTGGCGTCAACCTGTTCGACGGCAGTTTTTCACAACGAGGTTGTCGCAGGTAGGGTTCTTTTCCCCTGTCTTACGACGCCCGCACCCAGTCCGGCCGGTCGCCCGCCACCACCCAAGCGACGTCGCAGTGAGTCGCCGGGCACCATGGCAAGGTGGAAGGAAGGGTCGCAACAATATCCCCCGTGGCAATACCGCAAGACTGCCCTCGTCCGGATTGCTGGGATCGATCGCCCGCCAGACGCGCCGACGCGCGAATGGCTTCACAGTTTGCCTTCAGGGTACACCGCAGTGTGTTCCGAACAAGAACGTTGCACGCAACTCGGCAACTCGTGGCACTTGTCCGTTGCTCGCTTTCTCCTGTGCTTGGTCCTGGTCCAAAGCCAGGCGTTGTCTGTGTCAGCGTGTGCCCCGGGCTGTTGGTACCCGTCCGTTCCGGACCCTACTGCAGAGCTTCGCTTTCACCCAGACGGGAGTCGTCCTCTGGTCCGTGCTGCTTCGTTTTGGCACAGGTCGTCCTTGAATTGGGACCCCTGCGAGCAAGTTGTGCAGAGACTGTCGGGCCCAACCGACGACCCGTTCGCTCACTTGGACTGGGCTTTGGGTTTGGACTTTCTTGCCCTTTTCCCCGTCAAGCTCAACCCGTGTCTTCAGTGGTGCTACGAGTCACAGCCTCTCTTCCAAGGCAAGCTGCCCTCGTGGCGTCAGTCTGTGTGCGACGACCTGTCCGCGCTAGTCGAAGAACTTCGCGAAGAACAAGAGTCTTGGTTTCTCTCCGCTCCCCTGCACGTTCGACAGGTTTGCTGCAGAGGTCAGGCAACACTTCAGGTGCACCTCTTGACACTGACTTGGCTTTTGGACTTACTGCAGTTCCCAGGTCGTCGGGCGTTGGTCACCGAGTTGTTCTGGGGTTTTCCTTTGCTAGGTCCGCTCACCCCAGGTACAGGTTGGGCTCCGAGGTCAGACTACAAGTACTCCCGTCCGTTGTCTCCGGCTGAGTTCAAGGCGGCCAACCGGGCGCACGTGAAAGACGTGGTCTCTTCTCTGAAGTCTGGCGAGCACTCCGAGACCATGTTCGCAGAGATCCTCGAAGAGTGTCAACTTGGTCGCGTGGCTGGTCCTTTTCCCGCCTCGAAGCTTCTCCTCGAAGAAGCCAGTTCGTGTGCTTCCCGTGCGTTCCCGGTCGTCCAAGGTGGGAAGGTCAGGCGTGCCGACGACTGGTTGCGCAGTCATCACAATGCGACAGTGTGGGTCTCAGACTCGCCTGCGTATTGTGGGGTGGATACCCTCGCTAGTTGTATCCAGTCCGCGCCTGTTCGTCAGGACATGCTGCTCAGCGCGGTGGATCACGAAGGGGCATACAGAGGGCTACCCGTCCGTTCGCCGAGCGAATGCGGCGTAATCCTTCCCGTTCAGAAGGATCGGTGCCTGTTCGTGCACAACAGCCTCCCGTTCGGTAGCACGGGGAGCGTGTGGTCTTACCTCAGGGTGGCGGATGTGCTGTCGTTATTGGCGGTTAGTCTCCTGTTCGTGCCTTCCGCTCACTTTGTTGACGACTTTCACCAGTCCGAATCCGCCGACGTAGCTGACTCAGGCTTTCAGAGTTTCAAGCTTTTCCACAGCACGTTAGGTTTCAGGATGAAGGTGGCCAAGGAAAAGCGACCTTCTTGTTCGCATACCTTGCTGGGTGTGCTGTGGACGATCGTCCAAGACGGCGTTTGGGCTAGCCCCGGCCCAGAGAGGGTTCAAAAGCTTGTGGACTCCTTGTCCGAGTGCTTGCAGAAAGGTACCTGTTCAGGCGCCCTGGCCGCCCGCCTCGCAGGGAAGTTAACGTTCGTGTGTGCCTGGGTGTTTGGAAAGGCAGGGCAGGCTTTGTTGAAGCCCCTTTACCGCAGACAGCACAGCGGAAGCAGTGGCGAGGCTGAGTTGCCGCCCGCGCTGCGAGTTAGCTTTCGACTCCTGGTCGAACTCCTGCCAGCTTTGAAGCCGAGGTTCCTTCCCAACATCTCCCGTTCTGTGAGTATGCGCGTCGCTCGGCTGTACGCCGATGCCTTCATCACCATGCATGGCCAACGCCGTTGCGCCAACCGGTGGATGGACGACAGTACCGCCTTACAGCAACTCAAAGAGTCTACCAACGGATGGGGAGCCATCTACATAGGCCCGTCCGGCCAGCGATGGAGTTTTCGTGCAGAGGTGCCAGAGTCAGTTTTACGCCGGTGCTGTTCCAGTCGCGACTACATCTACTGGTTGGAGGCAGTAGCTCAGTGATCTCCCTGGCAGTCGTTGCGAGAGACCAGTTCGACTGCATAGTCTGCTTCGTCGACAACACCGCCGCGGAGCACGCGCTCAACAAGGGCACGTCCAAGAATCCGAGTCTTTGCTGGCTAGTCGGGGCCTTTTGGGTTTGGGTGGCCCGTCAGGGTTTGTTCGTTAACTTTCAGAGGGTCACCAGCCAGGCCAACCTGTCAGACAAGGTCTCAAGGGGCGACTTTTCAGAGGCG